CCGGCCACCGCTCCCTTCGAGACTCTCCACTTGGACGTCTGGGGCCCTGCCCCGACGCAGGGGTCTGGGAGGGAGCGTTACTTTCTGGTGGTCGTTGTCGACTTCTCCAGGTACACCACAATGTTCCCTCTTGCGAAGAAGTCCGAGGTGACTACTACGCTGATCAGGCGGCTTCTAGCCACTGAGGGCACTCGTGGTCGTCGAGTCAGTTGTCTCCACTCCGACCGTGGGGGCGAGTTTCGCTCCGGCATTCTCGGCGGATTCAGTGGCGAACAGGGCATCACCCAGTCCTGGACGCTGCCAGAGTCCCCACAGCAGAATGGGGTTGCTGAGCGCCGCATAGGCTTGGTCATGGACATCGCCCGCACGTCCATGATCCATGCCCGTGCGCCCCATTTTCTGTGGCCCCATGCGGTTCGCTATGCCGCACACCAGCTGAACCTCTAGCCGCGTGTCTCGCGGCCCGAGGTTTCACCGACCAGTCTTTGGACTGGTTCCCCTGGTGTCGGGTCGGCCTTTCGAGTCTGGGGCTGCCTTGCACTTGTTCGCGACACCTCCGCGGACAAGCTCTCGGCACGCGCCGTCCCCTGTGTCTTCCTTGGTTTCCTAGTGGACTCTGCCGACTGGTCCTTTTACCACCCTCCCCTCCACCACTTCCTAGACTCCCGTGACGTCCGGTTTGACGAGTCTGTGTCCTACTACACCCGGTACCCCTATCGAGGTCTCCCGGTACCCCCTCCCCCTCTTTTCCTCGCACCCTCTCCTCCTCCTGCTCCCGCTCCTCCGGTACCCCCCCCCCCCCCCCCCCCCCCCCCCCCTGGTCCTGCCCCGTCTGGTGTGTCCCACGTTACCCCTCTACCCTCGGTCGCGCGTCAGGTAGCGTCTCCCTCCCCGCAGTCCTCCTCACAGTCCCCTCAGCAGCCTTCGGCACTTCCGCGACAGGTTACTGTGGACTCGGTTGGTGTTGGGGCTGGAGGTGCAGCCACTGGCGGTGCTAGGTCTGGGGGTACTCGGTCGCGGGGTGCTGGAGCTGGAGGTGCTGGCGCAGGTGGCGCTAGCTCTGGGGGTGCTGGAGCTGGAGGTGCTGGCGCAGGTGGCGCTAGCTCTGGGGGTGCTGGAGCTGGAGGTGCTGGCACTGGTGGTGCTAGTTCTGGGGGTTCTGGAGTTGGAGGTCCTGGCACTGGAGGTGCTGGTACTGGGGGTGCTGGAGTTGGAGGTCCTGGCACTGGAGGTGCTGGTTCCGGGGGTGCTGAGTCTGAGGAGTCTGACCCTGGTTCTGCGGAGTCCACTCCGCCTCCCCACCGCCACGACACACGACTCCAGGCTGCCCGCCGGCGTGAGCAAGAGGAGCAGGAGCGGTTGGAGAGGGAGCGGCAGGAGCTGGGGGTGCTGGACCTTCTAGAGCAGCAGCGGCAGCAGCAGCAGCAGCAGCAGCAGCAGCCGCAGCCGCCACCGCAGCTTCCTCTAGAGCGGCAGTTGTTCCCACCTGTGAGAGGCCTGCGGGCCCTTGGCTTTTCCTCCTCTCCTCCTGTCCGCTCCCAGTCTCCTCCTGTGTTTGTTCCTCCGTTGCCTCCTCCTGACAACCGTCCGGCGGTCTGGTCTTCTCCTCCTCCCCAGACTCCTCCTCCTTCGGTCCGTCGCGACTTGGTCACTCGTTGTCCTCCGCGTGCTCGTCACTCGTCCCCTGTTACTGACCTCCACACTGCCCTCCTTTGTACGTCTCGTCGTCGTTCTCCTTCTCCTGTGTCCGTTCTCCCGTCTCCTCCTCCGTCCTCTCTCCCAGCCCTCCCCACTCCTATCACTGACTACTACCGCACTGTTCGTCCTGTTGCCGCACGTGTCCTCGCCACTCTTGTCACCGACTCTCGTTTCCCTCCGTTGTCGGTCTCTGCTCTCACTGCCGCTGTCGCTGAGTTTGCTGCCGCCAGCCGCCTTGACTACGCCACCCGTGTGGTGCCAGCTCCTCCCTACCGTCCTCTGTCCGTCGGGGGTGAGTTTTCCCTTGGCTGTGACGTCCTAGAGGACAGAGAGTCTGAGCTGGAGTACTGGGCAGCCGCTTCTCCCTCTCTGTGTGCCATGCTGCTCTCCCCTGAGGGAGACCCCGACGCCCTTGACATACTGACTCCTCGCACTTACTGCGAGGCAGTGTCAGGGGCGTGGGCCTCTCAGTGGAAAGCGGCTATGGACTCAGAGTTGGCGTCTTGGAGATCCACAGGCACCTATGTCGACGCAGTTCCCCCTCCCAGGGCGAACGTAGTCGATGGCATGTGGCTCTTCAAGGTGAAGCGGCCGCCTGGAGCACCGCCGGTGTTCAAGGCGCGCTACGTGGCTAGGGGCTTCAGTCAGCGTGAGGGAGTTGACTTCTTCCAGACCTTCGCCCCGACCCCAAAGATGACTACTCTTCGGGTGTTACTCCACATAGCAGCGCAGCGAGACTACGAGCTGCACTCCCTCGACTTCTCCACTGCGTTCCTCTAGGGCCGAATGCACGAGGAGATCTGGCTGCGCCGTCCTCCTGGCTTCACTGACACCTTCCCACCTGGGACCCAGTGGAGCCTGAGGCGACTAGTCTACGGTCTCCGCCAGTCGCCCCGTGAGTGGCACGACACTCTTCACTCCACGCTTCGTAACCTTGGGTTCAGCGCATCCTCCGCCGACCCGTCGCTGTTTGTTCGAGCGGGTTCTACTCCTTTCTTTATCCTTGTCTACGTCGACGACTTGGTGTTTGCTACAGCAGACAGGGCAGCCCTGGCTCAGGTGAAGTTCGAACTGCAGAAGAGACACAAGTGCAATGACCTGGGTGAGCTGCAGCGTTACCTTAGCTTGCAGATCACCCGGGACAGAGCCGCTCGCACCATCACACTTACGCAGTCACACATGGTGCAGCAGGTCCTTCGGCGGTTCGACTTCCAGTTCTCCACCACACAGCCCACTCCTCTTGCTGTTGACCACAGACTCACTGGCCCCTTTCCCGACGAGCCTTTTGAGTCCAGTGGTCCCTACGCAGAGCTGGTGGGCTGCCTCATGTACCTAATGACTTGTACTCGGCCGGACGTCGCCTTTCCCCTCAGCGTCCTCTCTCGCTTTGTTGCGACTGGGAGACACCGTCCTGTCCACTGGACAGCTGCTGTGAGGGTGGCGAAGTACTTGGCGACTACATCAGGCATGGGGCTTGTGCTTGGAGGGACTCAGCCAGTGGCGTTGACTGGTCACTGCGACTCTTCCTACGCTGACGACGTGGAGACTCAGCGTTCGACTCAGGGTTACTGCTTCAGTCTGGGAGCTGGTGCTGTGTCGTGGAGGTCTACACGGTCGTCGTCTGTGGCTACTTCCAGTGCAGAGGCAGAGATCTATGCTGGTGCCATTGCGGCACAGGAGCTTCGCTGGTTGACCTTCTTGCTCGCCGACCTTGGTGAGCGGCCTCGCTTTGCACCGACCTTGTACGCTGACAATAAGGCCATGATCCTCCTGTGTCGAGAGCCTCGACTGGAGAGCAGAGTGAAGCATACTGACGTGAGGTACTTCCTCCTGGGAGAGGTGCTGCGACGCGGCCAGGCACGCCTGGACTTTGTGGCCTCAGAGGCTAACACTGCAGACGTCTTCACCAAGGCCTTGACGCTTGGTGATCACCACAGGTTCTGTGTGCAGTTGGGGCTTGTTGAGGTAGGCCCCCGGTTGCTGTAGTCTTGTTGCTTGCTTTGCTTGTTGTGTTTTCCTATTTATATCCTAGTGAACTCTTGATTTGGCCTTGTGGCCGCTTGCTTGTGCTCGGAATTTGTGTGGTGTCCTTGAGATCCACCTTGAGCTTGTCTTGCCTTGACTGGTCTTGTGACCGTTTGTTTCACCTTGCTTGCCCTGGTGTCCCTCACTTAACCTATGGGGGTGTGTCAAATGTTAATGTTATGATAGGCTGCAGTGAGGCACTCCCTAGAGGGTACAACATTTGTAGGACTCCTATTTGTATGCTTGCAAACCCTAATCCCAATCATTCCGTTGCATGTAGATTCTGAGAGTTTCACCCTCCTTCCCACCCTCCTTTCCAGCCTCTCTTCCTCCCCTCCCTTCTGCTTCTCCCCCAAGCATCCTCCCTACCGTATGGCCCCGGATATAAGCGCAGGTCTATTATAAGCGCATGCGCTTGTATCCGGAGCAATGCGTTTATGGCCGATCCTCATTTATAAGCGCACCCCCTGTAAAACCTTGATTTGCTATAAGCGCATGTATAATTTTAAAATTTAAACCATATTAAAACGGTAGCGATTTCAAAATTTGCAGTGAGAATACAACATTTTTCGCTTCGATTGACTTTCGAGGACCTCACATACTGCGCGTCCAGTAAGTATGAGCTGGCATTTCTGATAGTGGCGTGTAAAATGCCCCTGTGCGCCGGCAGAAAATCGCTCACGCGCGAATCTGAGTTGTGACTCGCTACCACTTCGATTCGATTGAAATCGCAAGAAGGAGATGTACAGTTTGGTGCCAAGGAATTATAAATTTGTATTTGTCATTATATAAGCGCATGCGTTTATAAATCTGACTCAATTATAAGCGCACCCCCCCAAAAAACACTGTTTTATTATAAGCGCAGGTGCGCTTATATCCGGGGTATTACGGTACCTCCCTTCCTCCCATCATCACTTCCTTCCTTCATTCCTGCATTCCTCACTTCCTCCCTTCCTCCGTTCCTCCTTTCCTTATTTGCCAGTTGTCATTCTTTTGCATGCCTGCTTCCCTTATACTTCAGCCATGTCACATCTGACTTCTGGGTTTGTGATGTGCTGGCTGCCTGATAGTAACACGACGTATAGCCATGCCATGTATTGGATACTTTTTTATAATACAGGATTATGTATGAGCCTCAGAGCAGTCATACACATGACCAATACCAAGGAGTTCAACAATTAATATATTACAGTATCTGTAAAGTAAGGGGAATCACGAGACTCGAGAAGGGAACAAAGCTTGGGGGTGTGTGTAATGTTGCTTCCCGGTTTTGTCTGCTATACTGCAAGCAATAAACTAGGCCATGGTAAAGCCACATCTGGTCCTGGGCACCTGTAACTGCATTGGGGGGTATGGGGGTGAGTGAAGGGGGGAAGACAGTAAACGGAATGAGCAGAGGGGAAGAGAAGAAGCAGCGGGGGACAGATTGAACAGAGGGGAAGAGAGGAAGCAGGGGGGAACAGAGTGAGCAGAAGTAAAGAGAGTGAGCAAGGGGGAAGAGAGTGAGAAGAGAAGAAGGGGAGGGAGCAAGGGTGAAACAGAGGGAGCAAGGGTGAGCAGGGAAGGCGATGGGGGGAAGCAGGGAAGGAGATGGGGGGAAGCAGGGAAGGAGATGGGGGGAAGCAGGGAAGGAGATGGGGGGAAGCAGGGAAGGGGATGGGTGGGGGGAAGCAGGGAAGGAGATGAGGGGAAGCAGGAAAGGGGATGGGGGGAAGCAGGGAAGGGGATGGGGGGAAGCAGGGAAGGAGATGGGGTGAAGCAGGGAAGGGGATGGGGGGAGGCAGGGGAGGGGACGGGGGGAAGCAGGGAAGGGGATGGGGGGAGCAAGTCGGAGGATGGGGGAAAGCAGCGCAGGGGATACGTGGAAATAGGGAAGAAGGGAAGGGTTTATGTGCGGGTTGGAAAGGGGGCGTGACAAGTGTGCGAGATGGGAAGGGAGAAGGGAGGGATGGCGAGGGCAACGAGGAGTGGAAGGGAGGGCGACGGGGGGAGAGAGAGACGGGGATTGCGAGGGGACGAGCGGGAGCGAAGGCGACGAGCAGCAGGGAGGGCGATGAGACGAAGGGGGGCAACGGGCGGAAGGGAGGGAAAGAGAGCGTGAAGGGGGAAAGAGAGTGAGAAGGGGGAAAGAGAGTGAGTAGGGGGGGAAGAGAGTGAGCAGGGGGGGAGAGAGTGAGTATAGGAGTGAGCCGGGAAAACAGGGGCGAGCAGAGGGGGTAAGAGAGCGTGAAGGGGGAAAATGGGTGACAAAATGGGGAGAGTGGGGTTAGAACAAGGGGAGTGAGCAGAGGGAAAGAGAATGAGCAGGGGAAAGAGATTGAGGAGGGGGGAGGCGAGTGATCAGGGGGAAAGAGAGTGAGCAGGGGGAAAGAGAGTGAACAGGAGAGAGTGAAAGGCAATGGGAAGGGAAGTGAAGGTGACGGGTGGGGAAGCGAGTGTGACGGGCGGGAAAGCGAGTGCGGCAGGCGTGGAAGGCGACGGGAAGGGGAATCGAAGCCATCGGGGGGGAGAAGTGAAGGCGACGGGAGGGGAAGTGAGGGCGACGGGAGGGGGAAATGAAGGCGACGGGAGGGGAAGTGAGGGCGACGGGAGGGGGAAATGAAGGCGACGGGAGGGGGAAGTGAAGGCGACGGGAGGGGGAAATGAAGGCGACGGGAGGGGAAGTGAGGGTGACGGGAGGGGGAAGTGAAGGCGACGAGAGGGGGAAATGAAGGCAACGGAAGAGGGGGGGGAGGGGGGGGAGTGAAGGCGACGGGGGGGAAGTGAAGGCGACGGGCGGAGCGAAGGCGACGGGCACGCGACGAGCTGCGGAAGCGAGGGCGACGACGCAGGCGAAAGAGAGCGGAAGCGTGGGAAAGGAAAGCGAGGGCGAGGGGAGGGTCACGTTTGGGCGAACGGTTGCGATTCGATTTTCGCCGCGAGGTTACGCTAGTTGCACAATAACCTGCATTTCGACACAATAATCTTCATCCAGCGGACACTAGCTTTGCGCATCATCATCAAAATCCGCGCCACCCACATCGTATGGCGCATCTGATCCCTTTTGAGTGAACGCCGACGCCCTGCCCTGTCTACAGGTATGGTCTATACCTAATACTCTGCGTGCTATCTCAAACTCTGCACAGTTTGGTACGTATGCTTGCACATTTCTGGTTGTGGGAAGAACCCCACCCATCATGGGAAGCGAGAAACTTTTGTCGCAAATTGGTTTCGCGAGTGAAAGTCTCTCGCAACCCAACCGAACCTCTCCGTGCCTGCCTCCCGAACCTAGTTTTTTGCGTTGACTTCCGTTGAGTAATTCAGGCGTTGACACCTAGGAACATTCAAGATCTTATACTTTCAGGCACATATGCACACATGTCCAAACAGTGCCAGGTGTTTCCACCAATAATCTGTTGTGTACATTCACAGGTATGAGCTGTTTGTCTTCTAAATGAATGTATGGAACGTGCAACAGGCACTCGTATTTCCTTCACTTGATCGATTAGCTCCTTGTCAATTGTAGAGCTGCTACGTCCTCCTTTGAGACAGGAATCCAACACTCACCCCACTTCCAAGGTAAGCCCTGCCACCAAATCCAGTAGGGAAACGGCGACTCGGTTCAAGGTCGTGTTGGCCGCATCATGCCAAGCATTCTCTCACGCTTGGCGCCAAGGCGTGAGAGCATGGCGAATGAACGCCCTGATCCAGCGCGCTCTCACGCTTTGCGCCAAGGCGTGAGAGCATGGCGAATGAACGCCCTGATCCAGCGCGCTCTCACGCTTGGCGCCAAGGCGTGAGAGCATGGCGAATGAACGCCCTGATCCAGCGCGCTCTCACGCTTTGCGCCAAGGCGTGAGAGCATGGCGAATGAACGCCCTGATCCAGCGCGCTCTCACGCTTGGCGCCAAGGCGTGAGAGCATGGCGAATGAACGCCCTGATCCAGCGCGCTCTCACGCTTTGCGCCAAGGCGTGAGAGCATGGCGAATGAACGCCCTGATCCAGCGCGCTCTCACGCTTTGCGCCAAGGTGTGAGAGCATGGCGAATGAACGCCGCCCTGATCCAGCGCGCTCTCACGTGTTTCTCTCCCCCTGTGTCTCAGATCCGTTGTCTCACCTTCTTCCGGGCAGCAGGTCGGGCTGTGAATGCTTGCATTCTCACATGTTTCTCTCCCCGTGTCTCAGATCCGTTGTCACACCTTACTAGTACTACTAGTAGCCGCCAGCTCGAGGTTTTAGAGATTGACGAGTCAAGGATTCTCAAGGCGTCCGGCGCCAAGCCGCTATTTCCCCCGGGCTGCCTGCGATGAAGCACCAGCGATGCCACCAGCTTTCTGCCTTGAAGGCGGCGCTCCCCGCTGCGCTCTCCCCAGCGCTCACCATGGCGCTCTGGCTTGTCGCCTTCAACGTCTCGTCGTGCCACGCGCAAGTGATCAATGCTTCTCAAGGTAGTAATCCTAGCACCGCTCACCGTCCCACCCAACCTCCTCCAACCTGTGACAGTACTATTGGCTCAGCGATACCCAACTAGGGAGGCAGTAGAAGTAGTGTTACCTCTCCCTCCATTCCTCCCCTCCTAAGGGAGTACTCAGGTGGCTCCCTCCTCCCTCCCGAATTCTCTCCAACCCTCTTCCCTCCCTCTCCCACTCCCTCCGTCCCTCCTCTCTCCCTCCTCCACTTCCTCCCTCCCAACCCCCTCCTTCCCCCACTCCCTCCCTCCCCTCCCCCCCTCCCTCCCCCACTCCCTCGCTCCCACACTCCCTACCTCTCCCACTCCCTCCTGCCCCCCCCCTCTTCCCTCCCCCACTCCCTCCCTCCCTCCTCCCTCCCTCCTCCCTTCCCCACTCCCTCCCTCCCTCCCCCCCCCCCCCTTCCCCACTCCCTCCCTCCCTCTTCCCCCCCTTCCCCACTCCCTCCTTCCCCTTCCCCTCTCCCCCTCTCCTTCCGACGCATGCCTCGGATCTTATGCACTCATGCTACTCATGAGTGCTCATGTTACTCATTTCCTTCCGCGACTTTTCTTATGCCCTCTCCTCGCCCCAACACGTCAGGGTTGTTTCTCAGCGACGTCAAGACGGGATGGGGCATGGGGTGGAAGGTGGGAGACAAATGCAGCACTGCGGCATCTATCCTGTGCGACGCTTCAGGCATGATCACCTCGATGTGAGTGCACGTGTTAATATCTTGGATGGAAAGGTGCGTCTTCCATGACACACACACCATCTGCTGCCTGCCGCAGATGCTTCCCTCAGCTCCGAACCCGACCTCTCCCACCTCTCTCTCCCCGGGTAATCTACTTCTCCCATCACTGCTGCTTCCATTGCTCCAGGTTCCTCCCCTGATGCTATTTATTCCCCACGCCAGGGATCACTGTCGGCACTCCTCCACTGCCCATGCACTCTGCATGCCCACTCCTCCCCCCTTCTTTTGTCTGCATCGCGTTGCCACTCCTCGATCGTCTCTGCTGCACAAACCTTGTGGTCTCGCTTCAATGAGTTCACGTGTGCCTTGCTTAGTAGAACTCACAGTTGCCACTGCACAATCTCTACCTTCACAGTCACAAACCTCGACAATTGCCTGGCTCTAGCCCTTTTGAATATATCATGCCTTCCAGGTTCCCGCCACCCTCTGTAGACAAGCATTTGAGCCTCTCGTCTTACCATGCGCAACTCACCCCACACAGGGTTTTTTTTAGCAACAAACTCACGGGCTCCATTCCCGACAGCATCTCTGCGCTCACGGCACTCAGTTACCTGTAAGAGGCATAATGGGTTTGCTCCACCTGCGTGCTATTTTGCCCACTGGTGTTGCATGCCATGTGCGCATCACTGCTGGCGCTCCTCCACTGCCCATGCACTCTGCATGCCCACTCCTCCCCCCTACTTCTGTCTGCAGCGCGTTGCCACTGCTCGATCGTCTCTGCTCCCCCAACCTTGTGGACTCGCTTCATTGAGTTCACGTGTGCCTCGCTTAGTAGAACTCACAGATGCCACTACACAATCTCTACCTTCACAATCACTAACCTCGACAATTGCCTGGCTCTAACCCTTCTGAATATATCATGCCTACCAGGTTCCCGCCACCCTCTGTAGACAAGTATTTGAGCCTCTCGTCTTACCACGTGCAACTCACTCACCCCACACAGGTATCTTACTGATAACAATCTCACAGGCTCCATTCCCGACAGCATCTCTGCGCTGAAGGATCTGACATGGCTGTAAGAGGCACACTGGGTTTGCTCCACTTGCGTGCTGATTTGCCCACCGGGTGCTGCATGACATGTGCGCATCACTGTTGGCACTCCTCCACTGCCCATGCACTCTGCATGCCCACTCCTCCCCCCTTCTTCTGTCTGCATCGCGTTGCCACTCCTCGATCGTCTCTGCTGCACCAACCTTGTGGTCTCCCTTCATTGACTTCACGTGTGCCTTGCTTAGTAGAATTCACAGTTGCCACTACACAATCTCTACCTTCACAATCACAAACCTCGACAATTGCCTAGCTTTAGCCCTTATGAATATATCATGCCTTCCAGGTTCCCGCCACCCTCTGTAGACAAGCATTTGAGCCTCTCGTCTTACCATGCGCAACTCACTCACCCCACACAGGTATATCGAACACAACAATCTCACAGGCTCCATTCCTGACAGCATCGCTGCGCTGACGGCACTCGAATACTTGTAAGCGGCACACTGGGTTTGCACCACCTGCGCGCTGCTCTGGTCACTGGGTGCTGCATGCCATGTGCGCATCACTGCTGGCACCCCTCCACGGCCCATGCACTCTGCATGCCCACTCCTCCCCCCTACTTCTGTTTACATCGCGTTGCCACTCCTCGATTGTCTCTGCTGCACCAACCTTGTGGTCTAGCTTCATTGAGTTCACGGGTGCCTTGCTCAGTAGAACTCACAATTGCTACTACACAATCTCTACCTTCACAATCACAAACCTCTACAATTTTGGCTCTAGCTCTTTTGAATATATCATGCCTTCCAGGTTCCCACCACCCTGTGTAGACAAGCATTTGAGCCTCTCGTCTTACCACGCGCAACTCACTCACCCCACACAGGTATCTTGGTGGCAGCAGTCTCACGGGCTCCATTCCCGACAGCATCTCTGCGCTCACGGCACTCAGTTACCTGTAAGAGGCATAATGGGTTTGCTCCACCTGCGTGCTGTCTTGCCCACCGGATGCTGCATGCCATGTGCAGATCACTGCTGGCACTCCTCCACTGCCCATGCACACTGCATAACCACTCCTCCCCCCTACTTCTGTCTGCATCGCGTTGCCATGCCTCGATCGTCTCTGCTGCACCAACCTTGTGGACTCGCTTCATTGAGTTCACGTGTGCCTTGCTTAGTAGAACTCACAGTTGCCACTACACAATCTCTACCTTCACAATCACAAACCTCGACAATTGCGTGGCTCTAGCCCTTTTGAATATATCATGCCTTCCAGGTCCCCGCCACCCTCTGTAGATAAGCATTCGAGCCTCGTCTTATCACGCGCAACTCACTCATCCCACACAGGTATTTTGGCGATAACGATCTTACGAGCTCCATTCCCGACAGCATCTCTGCGCTGACGGCACTCGAACTTTTGTAAGTGGCACACTGGGTTTGCACCACCTGCGTGCTGCTCTGCCCTCTGGGCGCAGCATGCCATGTGCGCATCACTGCCGTCACTCCTCCACTGCATATGCACACCGCATGCCCACTCCCCCCACCTCTTTTGTCTGCATCGCGTTGCCACTCCCGCCATGCCCTCTCTTCTCATCACGCTCAACTCACTCAACCCCATACAGGAGTCTTGGCGGTAACAGTCTCACGGGCTCCATTCCTGACAGCATCTCTGCGCTCACGGCACTCAAAAGCCTGTAAGCGGCACACTGGGTTTGCACCACCTGTGTGCCGCTCTAGCCCTTTTGAATATATCATGCCTTCCAGGTTCCCGCCACCCGCTGTAGACAAGCATTTGAGCCTCTCGTCTTACCACGCGCTACTCACTCAACCCACACAGGGATCTTCGCAGCAACAGTCTCACGGGCTCCATTCCCGACAGCATCTCTGCGTTGAAGGATCTGTCATGGCTGTAAGAGGCATTATGGGTTTGCTCCACCTGCGTGCTGTTTTGCCCACTGGGTGTTGTATGCCATGTGCGCATCACTTTTGGCACTCCTCCACTGCCCATGCACTCTGCATGCCCACTCCTCCCCCTTTCTTTTGTCTGCATCCCTTTGCCTCTCCGTGTCCCTCCCTGCTGCTGTGCTTCAATAGTTTCATGATTTTGCTACTTCGGAAGAGTATGCAACTGCCACTACACAATTTCAACTTAGAAAATTGCAGTCTGCTACAGTAGCCTTGCCCTAGCCCTTCCGAACTGATTATGCCTTCACAGTTCCAGCCACCCTCTGTGGACAGGCTCGAGTCACATGTTTCGTTGAGGTGGTGTGCTGTGCTGGTGATCAAGTGGAATGGAGTTGAAGCTGGTTGGGGACTAGATGTCTGTGGCATTCATTGGGAGACTCCCCATTCACCTACATCGTGTGCTCCATGCACTGCTACTGTCCACTCTGGTTTATAGCATAGCACATTGCAAGGCATGCACAAGGTACTAGATGTAAGAGTATCATGAAGTCACACGTGAGTGTTTTTTTCTTTTCCTCCTGCCATGCCCTCTCTTCTCATCACGCGCAACTCGCTCAACCCCACACAGGTTTCTTAGCAGCAACAGTCTCACGGGCTCCATTCCTTACAGTATCTCTGCGCTGAAGGAACTCGAATTGTTGTAAGAGGCACACTGGGTTTGCTCCATCTGTGTGCTGTTTTGCCCACTGGGTGCTGCATGCCATGTGCGCATCACATCTGGCACTCCTCCACTGCCCATGCACTCTGAATGCCCACTCCTCCCCCCTTCTTCTGTCTGCATCGCGTTGCCACTCCTCTATCTCTGCTGCACCAGCCTTGTGGTCTCTCTTCATTGAGTTCACGTGTTCCTTGCGTAGTAAAACTCACAGTTGCCACTACACAATCTCTACCTTCACCATCACAAACCTCGACAGTTGCCTGGCTCTAGCCCTTCTGAATGTATCATGCCTTCCAGGTTCCCGCCACCCTCTGTAGACAAGCGTTTGAGCCTCTCGTCTTACCACACGCAACTCACTCAACCCACACAGGGATCTTAGCAGTAACAGTCTCACGGGCTCCATTCCTGACAGTATCACTGCGCTCAGGGCACTCGGATATCTGTAAGAGGCACACTGGGTTTGCTCCATCTGCGTGCTGTTTTGCCCACTGAATGGCGCATGCTATGTGCGCATCACTTCAGGCACTCCTCCACTGCCCATGCACTCTGCATGCCCACTCATCCCCCCTTCTTCTGTCTGCATCGCGTGGCCACTCCTTTATCTCTGCTGCACCAACCTTGTGATCTCGTTTCATTGAGTTCACGTGTGCCTTGCTTAGTAAAACCCACAGTTGCCACTACACAATCTCTACCCTCACAATCACAAACCTTGACACAGGAATCTTCGGAAGAACAATCTCACGGGTCCTATTCCCGACAGCCTCCCTGTTCCGCAATGGTTCTTCCCTTCTGCCTCACCGCCACCACCTAAGTCTGCTGGTATGTTTTCTGCTTTCGATAGTTCGCAACTACTGTTTTCGTTTTTTTGATTTTTTTAAACATCAGTCTCACGGGTTCAATTTCAGATGGTGGTCTTGTTCCGCGGTGGGCTGTCCCTTCTACCTCACCACCACCACCTAAGCCTTCTGGTATGTTTTCTACTTTGGATTTTTTCAGTACTGTTTTCGTTTTTTGCAACTGTGACCTCCGCATGTCACCCCTCGTACCCCTGCTTCCCCTCGTTTCCTTGTTCCCGCTCCCCTTCCCTCCCTCCCCCCAACCCTCCCCCTTTCTTCCCAGACAATCACATGCCCTTCTCCCACCCTTCACTTGATTCCACAAGTTCTTTGCTATTGCTCTGATGTGACTCTTCACTCCACCTGCTCTCCTCTTGTCAGGTTCTGTCACTCCACCTGTCGGTGTGGTGGCCGCTGCCATTGCTGTTGCGCTTACCTCACTGCTCTTTGTGTAGAGCAGTGCATTGAACATGGAACAACAGGAGAGACAAGTCAGTGCTTATCGAATTGCAGTGAAAATATAGAATGACACTATAAGTGGCAGCACCCCCACCAGTGTGCCTCTGAAGAAGTTCGCTGTTACATTGTGAGGAGCTCTTGGGTTTGTGACTAGAATTATCCTGGTTGCATTAAAGCCTGAGTCTAGAATGGGAAAGATTCTTGAACATGATTTTGCCAGTGAACACGGTAACCCGCCTTTGTGTGGGGCGCCTTCGCGATCCACTTTGAAGGTGTTTGAAGCCAGAGCCTCAGAAGTCAGGATTTTTACCCTGAATTCCTGAAGCTTGACCTTGTTTTATCGTGACCCTGACGTCTCAGCCCTTTTTTTAGAACAACCCTGATGTTTCAGTGTTTTTTTATTTCGAACTCTGAATTTCCAATGTTTTGTGATTGAGGACACTTACGAGTCAGTGTTGTATTGGGGTGGACCCTGAAACTGAAGATTCCGTGATTCTCTCATCTCCCCTTGGCCATAATTGGTCTCGTGACTTGCTACATAGGAAGGCAGTCTAGTCAAGTATGACACCTAGTGCATCTTTGCCGAGCGGGATTGAGCCTATGAGCGATAATTGACCAGATTCCTCTCAAGGCCAAAACTCTTGACTTGAGTACAGAAGGTAACAATCAGTATAACAATGAATAACACCACTGATTGTTCAGCGTTTTTATTTTCTGTACCCTGGAAAATCAGCGTTATTAATATGACGACACTGAAAATCAGTGTTTGGCCTTTGGGCGAGACTGAGTGGTCAGCGTGCCCCAAAACGAATCAGAGGCCCTGTTTGAAGCGCAATAATGTGATCGGCCAAAAGCACAACAGCAACACCACCGTCGGCACCCGCGGAAACAAACAAGAACTGGGGCCACTGTTAACAGTTTCCGAAACTTGAAGCTTGAAGCTACCTTTCTAGACTCGTTGATTAGTAGGCTCAGTAGCCCACAATATCGTGTTTCGATAACTACTGCTGGCGTCACCCAAGATTTTGTATTGCGACGTCCGTCGGTTTGCATAGTATAGGTCTCCACCGTCACCCGCTAACGCCCATTTCATCGGATCTCTCGCGGTACTCGCAAATATATCTCACACCCCATCTAATCCGTCGTCCCGCCGAACCCGCTACTCTAGTTGCACCCGTAGGTCCCGTCTCTCCTCTGGCTCTCGTCGATCCTGCTCTTCCCGTCGCCCTCGTCGCGTCTGTCGTAGTCGCCGTGCCCGTCACTCCCGTCCCGGTCGTGCCTTCCGTCCATCGTCCAGTCCACCCCCGTCCCTGCCATCGCCCAGCACCCTCCGTCCCTTCCGTCCCGCGCCTCGCTTCCATCTCGCATTCGCTCCTGCTGTAGCGCGCCTCCCTCCCGTGCTTCCCTTCCCTCTCCGCCGCTCGTCAACTGTCCCTCATTCGCATCTCTCACTAGATCCATCGCACACTCCCCCCGTCGCTCGAACGATCCCACCGCCCGCACAGGGCAATCGCCTTGCCTCAGGTCCAGTCGCACACACACTCGAATGTGACATTCACTCCTGTTCCGCACACTCACTCTCTATCAAACATAATAGTTTAGGGGCCTAGGGTTGTCAGAATGTGATGTTTGTGGGGTACTCTATAGCGAGTACAACTCGATTAGGGTTTCCTATATGTACTCAACTGTCTGCTAATGCTAACTCTCTTTTGCCTATTTCTCGATTGTGCCTGCTGATTTCGACATAGTATGAAATAGGCAATCAGGACGGCCCTCGAAATTCTTGCCGAACCTATGATTCCGTCCGAACCAAACAGAATCATGTTGGCCTGTCGAACGCCCTCTTTTTCATTAATTTCAAATGGAATTGTGAGGATAGGAAAGTGGGTTGGGAGCTTCCTCTACAGGCAAACGCAAATCCCGTCGCCATTCCATCGCCATTCATCCCCCCTACCAGAATCGCCTTGGGATGGCCATGGGATTGGAAGGGTGTAGAGGGTGGGGACGGGGATTTGGAAGATGGGGAGGGTGGTTCCTGATCCCGTTGCCACCCTCCCCCTTTCTGACGCGAAATTTCGCGATTTGGCCATCCCCCCCATACCTATTCGAGAGGTTCCTCCTCTGGTTTATGATCCCACAGCCATTCCGAACCCTTCATTTTTTTAGATGTGCTGGCGAACAACGCCCAAGTTTTTTAAACTTTACGAAGTGGGGTGTGCAAGCTTTGAAAGCCAACGCACCTGCAATTTGGGACTTTGGGGAGCTGCCACAACACCCAGGGCGAAATACGCGGGTTGGCTGGGTTTGGCGAAAAAATCGAAATGCCCGAAATCGGAATCAATTGCCAAAACCCAAACCATAATACAATCACACCGAGCCAAGCTAAGGACGTGTCTCACTTACAGGAGTCTGCGAGCCAGTCCGCTCTTGGAAATGTTGCTCCCCAAAACTGTGGTCTGGTCCGCTGGACCAGGCGAGGACTGAACTGGCGAGCCAGCTTCGGACAGGTCCACTGATGAAATACACTGTGGCGTGCAGACGAGACCACGGTCTGTTTTTCCCAACACTAGGCTACAATGACCCGTGAGGGCTTCCTGTCATTGGACAAGCCGCCATCTCGCGCTGCCAAGTCTTGCGACACTTGTCGGGTGAGGTCGTTAGCATTCGTGAAAAGCATGAAGAGGAGTATAGCATAAGGGTGTACCTCGCACAAGGAAGCGTTGTAATTACTTTTAAGGGTTAGTGGAATACATGCTTGAATTAGATGTGCAAAGTCTTTAACCGAAGCTTTCAATAGCGATTTTCCTATTGGTGACACTCTCCAGGAATCTTTCCCGCCAAAACCGCCATGGCTGTCCGCATATCGCGCTATGGCGTGCCGCTTTTATCCACAGGGCCTTTCCCGTCTTTCGACACGGCCGCCATCGCGACACCCGCTTCTCTCGTTGCGCTAGTTCCTTAGCTTCGATATAAGGTATCAACGTAGCGCTTGTTGCGATCGTGTTTTGTCTGTGCTGTAAGGAATCTTACCGCTCGTTACAATCACAACCGCGTATCCCCGTGGCAGACCGGAACAAGCTTCCGCATTTATCGCATTGCGCTAAGCGACCAATTACCTCTCCGTTTGGAACGTCTTGTGCAATATGAAACCGCGTGGTTAAGTAGTTACCTGTAGGTTACCACTTCCAGCCTGTCGTTTCGCCGTCGTCGCTGCAATACGGTCGTTTGTACAAACAATTAGTAGCTTCCGGAGAACCTTTACGGCCGAATATTAGCCTTCCTGAGAGTCCTCAGATGTTATAGATAGCGACTTGATGCATGCGTTTCTCAGTGCAACTTAGTTTCGCGGTTCGTTTTCGCGCCGACAAAAGCAGCCGAGCCCTGCGATTAGGATCGTTCATCGTTTCGTTGAAATGCGAAACTGCGTCCGTGACTCCTGAGGCGTCTGAATTCTCGAGTTTCCTAGTCTCAAGCACTTATTCCGAAACTTCGAGCCTCGTGGTCTCCGAGCCTCCAAAGTCTCCATGTGAAGAATGAGGAATCAATGAACTAGCAAGCAGGTGGGTACAAGTAGGAAAACCTAGAAGTGTTGTACCCCATATAGTCTGCCCCACTACAGCCTACACAGACTATAGTATAAGAGTTTGACACATCCCCATAGGCAAAGTGGGGGAGAACAAGAGGTCACAAGACCAGCCAAGCAAAGCGAAACAAGCTCAGGGTGGATCACAACGTCACCACACAGTCCAAGCACAAGAGCAAAGGCCATAAGGCCAGTTCACATGCAAGATCAGATATATATAGGTAAACAAGCAAGTGCAGGTATAAAAAGATCACAGTACAAGCAAGGTCAAGAAGTGAGCAAGTGAGGCCAAGTAGGCACAAGACCTAGCAACGTACAAAAGCGCTGATGATCACAAGGCGGAAGTGCCTTGGTGAACATATCAGCAATGTTGGCCTCAAAGGCCACGTAAGCAAGGCGCAGCTGACCACGCTGCTGCAGCTCACGAGCAAGGAAGTAGAGAAGAGCAATGTGCTTCGCTTTGTGCTCCAGTTTGTGCTCCCGACACAAGGCCAGCATGGCCTTGTTGTCTACGGACAGAATTGGAGGAGAACGAGGCGGCTCTCCTAGGTCAGGCCAGCAGGTAGGTGAGCCAGCATAGCTCCTGTGTAGCCATGGCCCCCGCGTAGATCTCAACCTCACAGCTGGAACTGAGAACAGAAGACGAGCGGGTAGACCGCCACGAAACAGAGCCGGAGCCAAGGCTGAAGGTGTAACCCTGTGACGACCGCTGCAGAGCCTGGTCGTCAGCCCAAGAAGCGTCAGCGTGACCTGTGAGGACCACTCGACGTCGCCCTCCAAGCACTAGCCCCATGCCCGACGTACTGCACAAGTAGCGCAACACCCTCTTTGCTGCAGCCATGTGCTCTGGTCGGTGTCTCCCAGGAGCAACATAGCGTGCCAAGATGCTAAGAGGGTACGCAAGGTCAGGTCGTGTACAGGTCATCAGGTACATGAGGCAGCCAACAAGCTCTGCATACGGGCCACTCGGCTCTACGGACTCATCCGAAGGCAGAGCTGAGAGTGAGTGGCGAGTAGACAGAGGAGTGGCATGAGGCGAGGATTACGTAGAGTCGAAGCGCTGAAGGACCTGCTGCACCATGTGTGACTGAGTCAGGGTAATGGTGCGTTGTGCTCTGTCCCGGATGATCTGCAAGCCAAGGTAGCTGTGCAGTTCTCCAAGGTCTGTGCACGTGTGTCTCTTCTGCAGCTCCGACTTCACGTGGGCGAGTCCAGCAGTGTCAGCTGTGGCAAATACCAAGTCGTCGACGTACACGAGGATGTAGAACGGCAGCAAAGAGGTGTCGGCGCCCAGAAACAGCGACGAGTCGGCTGTAGAAGGAGCAAACCCAAGAGCCGCAAGTGTAGTCCTCAGTGTGTCGTGCCACTCACGGGGTGCCTGGCGGAGATCGTAGACTGGCCGCCGGAGGCTCC